TGTTGAGTGCTATGAGAGAGTGGGGGATTAATTGGGAGGGGGATGAATGCACTAAGCAAAGGGAGACGCGGCAAAACATAGGGGTGGAGTCAGAAAGCTTCAGGTGACTCAGTGGGAGCGGAGTTCGGCTGCATGTACGCGCCAGGACTAAAATCCGAAGTTTGATATTTAAAAGATTTTTGTTTACGAGAGCAAAACCCAGAGGAAGGTGCTAAATAACCCTGTCAGTTGAATCACTCGGAATAAAAAAGAACAGGAATAAACGTGACGGAATATCATTGTCGAGGGAGGTGTGAAAATATTGGGAGTCAAGTGGTCAACAATATTCCTCACCATCATGAGAGGAAGGGCGTGACGCCCGCCCAACAGTCAACCAATTTATTCTGTGTGCAATAAAATCTACACTTCCTGCCAGTTAACATGTACAGAAATACGTGTTCGTGTCGGTACAATCAATTTGTATATACAGTATATATTTATACGGAAGGTATAATGTTCTGCGATGCTGAACTTATCCAATTTCTTACCTAGCCTAGATGAACGGTTGAACCTAATGTAGCAATTCATGTACAGTGCAAGTGAACAATGAAAAATATGTCTGAATTTTATAAATAGCCACATATATGAATCAGCTTTGCAATATGCACCTTAGATAATAGATAGTTACGCACATACTGTATATTGGAGTGGATTCCTCCCCTACAAACGCCGTTTGTCGCTGACTAGCCGATCCTCGAATTCCCCAGTGTATGCCACGTGGTCTAGGTCAACCAGCGCCGCCTTACATGATGGAGGTCAACTATTAAGCTACGCTTACCTCCGCTATATAAGATCTCACCTCGTGGTGACCTACCTCTTTCCACCTACAGCCAGTCTTCAAGCAACACCTCCTCCTCCTGCCTGGTGGCCCTCGCTCCCGCTGGCGACCATGGCTACCCACTAGCTGGTCCTCCTCTGAGCACCCTTACCAACCAGCTCTCTCTACTCAACGCTTGTAACCACGCTGCCACTTCCCAGCACCAAGCTGCATTGTACATCCAATACAATATGTATACAGAGAGCACATTGTGAGTTTCCTTTCTCCATCCCATCCTGAGTGTGAACCAACATCTCGTACCCCCACAATATCACTGCAAGGACAAATTCAAATATTGTGGTTATTGTTCCTCTCCAAAATATAATAATAATAATAATAATGGTTGCCCTTTGTGTAACGAGGATGGCCGGCCCAAGGGCCACCTACAGTAAGCGTGAATTTGTTTAAGGTGTAGAAGCTGTTGACAACACAACAACCACACCCTGAGTTGACGAGCTGGGTGATCCAGTGTCAAGGAATAGTCCGCGAAGACCGGACAACTCACCAACTGCACTGGCTCACCATTACCCCGGAATACGATCCACAAATCGATTAACATCCAGGTTCCCAATTTCTGCTGGGTAGACAGAGGCAAAAATATAAGCATTAGGCTAAGAGCCGCAGCGTAGACTGCGTATACAGTAGAAGGTTAGCGGAACAATCACTTGTTGCTTCATTTCACGAAGAGTAATTATGTGGTGGGAGAGACACAGCAAGAAATATCGTGCACAGTATAATTTACATTCATATCGGTCAACCTATAATAATAAAAGGACGTGTCTGTCTTGTCCTGCCATAGCTCCCAAACAAAAACAGTTAAGAGACTGATCTTTGTCGCGGATAATAACGCGATAAATGTAAATATTGTTGCAAATATTCTTTATGCTAAATATAAAGAGTACCTTACGTTTAACTCTCCCAAGTGCCCTTGCTGTCATTTATTTGTGTGTGCAGAACGTGTACTCACGTAAACGCGTGAATGTATTTGTGTAACTTTTTGTGTACCTCGTATTTTGTGCGCACTTACTGTAGTACAGTAATACATATATATTTGTTTACTGCAAGGCAGTGTTGTGTCATCAATTCTAGAGAATTCTTAACAATGCCAGTTATGCTTCATCATTTCCGGCAATGATTGAAATGTCGCCCAGTAATGCTCCAATAGCTCAAACAAGAAACAATATGGCAGAATTTCAATACTAAAAACTACTCCTACACAGTGGTAACGCTTCTTATACCTACTTTTATCCTCTTCGCCACTGATCGGCTTGTTAGCCGCTTGGGCGATCGGTCACGTCTCCTTTCATTTATATTCTTCACCAAAAGATCGGCTCGCTTGCCGCCCGGGCGATCGGTCACGTCTCTGTCACGCACTGTTGGCAAATACTGGGCATGCACCGGCTCCTGAATGTACCTGAGCCCGCTCCAGTGTTGGTCAAGTCTTCTCTTGAAAGAGCTCACACTCGGTGCCGTCACAACACTCTCTGGTAGATTGTTCCAAGAGTTTACAACCCTCACTCCGAAAAAGTTTGCCCTCACGGTTTTGTGGACTTGCGGCTTCTTCAATCTTGAGCTGTGTCCCCTTGTGGGGCGGGCGTCCGCCAGCTCCAAGTAAGGACACTCAACTGAGTAGTGCCCCCTGAGATGCTTATACACTTCAACTAGGTCCCCCCTTGCCCGTCTGTAGTATAAGCTAGGCAAGTTCAGGCGCTCCAATCTCTCAGGGTAGGTGAGGTGCCGAAGTGCAGGCACCAGTCTGGTGGCCCTCCTTTGAACATTTTCAACCAACTGACAGTCCCTAGCATATCTCGGGGACCAGATGGGGTGACAGTACTCCAGATGGGGAAGCACTTCACTCCTGAAGATCGTCACGAGGGACGGACCGTCTAGATATCTGAACGACCTTCTTATAAGACCCAATAATTTATTTGCCTGATTTACCTTCTTCTCACAATGGCCCGAGAACTTCAGCTCATTGTCAACATACACACCTAGGTCCTTCTCACACACAGTCTCAACTAGTGCATTTTCTTCATCCCGTTGGGACATATGATACGCCTCCTTACCGTTGGTACGCCCCAGGTGCATCCTCTTACACTTCGTGACATTGAATCTCAGCAGCCATTTCTTCGACCATTCCTGGAGCCCACAGAGGTCCTTCTGCAGCTCTTCACAGTCCGCTTGGTTCTTAATTTCCCGAAATAACTTGCCATCATCGGCAAACATTTGTATGGAGGAGTGTACAACGTCAGGCATGTCATTTATGAAACAAACAAACAACAGCGGGCCCAATACACTGCCCTGTGGTACCCCACTTGTTACAGGTACAGATGACGATTTCGTGCCATTAATCACCACACACTGCTTGCGGTCATGTAGAAAGTCTTCTATCCACGCTAGGACATTTCCCCGAATTCCGTACCCTTCCAGTTTGATTTTCAGCCTTTCGTGGGGTACACTGTCGAAAGCCTTGGCAAAATCTAGGTAAATATTGTCGATATTACCACCCCGTTCCAGAATATGGGTCCAAATATCCAATACCTTGAGCAATTGTGTTAAGCAAGAGCGCCCCGGCATAAAACCGTGTTGGCAATCTTTTACAAGGTTGTTTCGTAGTAGATGTTCCATCGCGGCATCTCTGATAATACTCTCAAGTACTTTACATATTATGCTGGTCAGGCTCACCGGTCTATAGTTGTTCGTGGAGTGACTATCGCCCTTCTTGAAGATAGGACTCACATAAGCCACTTTCCATTCACTGGGGACCATTTGTTCATCCAGGCATTTACAAAACAGGAGCTTCAGGGGCTCTGCAAGCTCGTTGCACAGCTCTCTTAGCACTCTAGGATGCACCATGTCAGGTCCGGGACTCTTATGGACCTTTCGCCTGGACAGTTTATTTCTAATACCCTCTTCTGTGAACACAATGTGGGTCAGTGCTGTGTCGAACCGTCTGTCCTCAAATGCAGGAAGGTTAGTTGCATCCTCTCTTGTGAACACTGAGGAAAAGAAGCTGTTCAATGCCTCAGCTTTATCCTGGTCAGAATCTGCGTAACTACCATCTTCAAGCCTCAGGTCTGATACTCCTACTCGCGTTTTCAATTTCGACTTTGCATAGCGGTAAAACGCCTTTGGGTTTGACTTGACCTCGCGTGCAACTAGCCTCTGGAACTCCTTTTCAGCCCTCCTACACTCTATCTTTGCTTGGTTTCTGGCTCTTGCATACATCCTCCTGTCTTGCTTCGACGTGAGCAAAGTGTGTGTGAAGTTAAAAGGTAAGTGCATATTCCCCACTAATCCCTATTTAGACAATTTTTACTTTCCAGAATATTGACTAACATTTTCTGAAAATTGAAACAAGCCAATACCATTTTTACACACTGTGCCGTCACAACACTTTCTGGCTGGGGTGAGAGGTAAACTTCAAGTGATCCATTCTTTTTAAGTACGGAATATTCCTAAAAAAAGACTTATTTTTATATTACCGGAGGTATATAAATTGATCTTTCCCGCTACTTCTCATAACACAAGTGTCCTGGAGGAGTGCATGATACTCCTCTTGGCAGTATCTAGCAGCAATACTATTTACTTATATTAGTAAATAACCTCCATCTTGTGTTTAAATTTATTGAATATATTTATCATATTACGTAAAGTTAAAATTACTAGATCATTATAAACATTTGAACTTCCCAATAGATTAAATGGTAAAATTGCTAAATTTAAATAGGTACAATATGTATAATGTTAGTCCTCAACTCGTTAGTGTATGCACAAGCATGACTAATGGTATGGTGGTCCACTCAAATAAACAGCCTATATCGTGAAAAAATATCGCAAGTTAAATGGGACTAGCGGCAAGCAAGCAAAGAAAGTGCACTAACAATCATAGTTAATTTCACGTTAGACTGGTAAATAGCAGCAGTGTGAAAACCTTTGACTACTACTGGTTCACGGAAGAACTATTCGCGTCTGTGTTTGCGATACCCAGAACGTAATATAGACTATGAACTATATCTAAGTATTATTATTTTATCCTTCACTCGGTATAATATTAATCCATTCCATCGGTAATTAGAGGTACACGTTTAGCGTGTGGCATTGATGTACGTCTGGCAGCGTGGGTTAGAAGTCATGAGGAGCGACCGAGCGTGGAGACTGGCTGGAGTGGAGTATATTTCCTGTTTTTCTCATTCTCAGTGTTGCTTCAGCATTCGTCGTGTATGCGAGTGACTGTCCTCTCGAACAAGTGTGCTGTAATAGTGTATTATACGCTATTAACTTGTGTAATATGGTGTAATATTCTGTGATACGAAACCATCGTAAAAATACAAGGTATGTAAGCGCTGGTAACAAAGTGAAGAATTGTTTTACAGCCCCTCCACTCAAGAGTGTATTGAGCCGGGCAGGAATGTTTAAGTGTTGTCATGCTAGGAACAACCAATGTGAAGCAAAATAAAACGTGACGTTCCTTTTGATAAAAAAAATTAAAGTAAAATTCTTTTGGAGGTCAGGTGAAACTGTTTGTGCGGTTTGACGGTGGTGCATCGGTGCTGGGTTGGTGTGAAACAACAAATATGTTAAGTTGTGGGTTTAAAGTTGTCAAATTTAAAGATAAAAGCGGGGTTAGGATTACTACTATTTAACGCGAGGCTGATTTTATATGGTGATCATGATCTCATGTGAGCTCAGCATGCATGTAAGCTTGAATAACAATCATATACAGTGCAGGTATTTAATACGGCTATTCGTATGGGATTATAGACATACTCGGCCACTTGTTAGCTAACTAGCCTGTAAGCACTGTCACGCACGCTTAGCAAATACTAGCGCGAGAATGTACTGTACCAGAACATGTTCTCGTATTGCTCTAGTCTGGACTGGTGGAGCTCACTCTTGGTGCTGTCATAACGTGTTTTCCAAGTTTACAACTTCTTTATCTTGAGGCTGTGACCTCTAAAATGGGCGACCATACACACCCATACCTGATAGGGTACGGTAAAGTATATACGTCTAAATAAGTGGTTCCCAAACTGGGGAACGTGAAATCATGTAGAAAACAAAATTTGAATGTTGAATTTTGCTTAGATATAAAAAAGATATAAATTTAAGCAAGAACCGATAGACGGCTAGATATTTCTACGAACAATAATATTCTCTGCATTGCAATGCCTCTTAGAGTTAGTAGACCTAAATAATACAGATACCGAACAAATACAAATTATAAAATTTAGTCAAATGAAAAGTAGGGCGAATGAGAGTTTCGTGAAAACTCAAAATATTGAGACCACTGTTCTAGACAGAAACCACAAATTAAGAAAACTAAAAAAATCGTGTGTGTTGGGTTGGGGGATCGGCAATTTCTGTATATTAGCCCAAACTGAATGACAAACGTTCACTGCAAGTTCCGGTTTTCTCAAAGTTAATTATAACTGTTGCGTAGAAGATGTTTTATCGTGGCATCTCTTATAATGCTCTCAAGTACTTTACGTACTATGCTGGTCAGGCTCACTGGTCTATAATTATTCGTGGAGTGACGATCGCCTTTCTTGAAGATAGGACTCAGATACGCCATTTTGCAATCACTGGGGACCTTTTGCTCATCCAGGCATTCACAGAACAGGATCTTCAGGTGCTCAGCAAGCTCGTAGCACAGTTCCCTTAGCACTCTGGGATGCACCATGTCAGGGGCGGGACTCTTATGAACCTTTAGCTTTGACAATTTATTTCTTATAACCTCTTCTGAGAACATAATGTGAGTCAGCGCTGTGCCGAACCGTCTGTCCTCAAAACGCAGGAAGATTGTTCGCATCCTCCCTTGTGAACACCGAGGAAAAGAAACTATTCAACGCCTCCGCTTTGTCTTGGTCAGAATCTCCGTAACTACCATCTTCAAGACTCAGGTCCAATACTCCTACTCACGTTTTTAATTTCGACTTTGTGTAGCGGTAAAATGCCTTTGGGTTTGACTTGACCTCACTTGCAATCCGCCTCTGGAACTCCTTTTTCAGCCCTTGTATACTCTGACTGCTTGGTTCCTGGATCTGGCATTCATCCTCCTGTCCTGCTCATCGTTTGTCCTAACCCACGTCTTGAATATCTGTTTTCTTCTTAACTTTGTTGACCACCGCATGGCTCACATGTAGCGGTCTCCTTGTATTCCTGGAGGCACTGGGTTTGGTCTTGGGTACATATTTCTCGATCAAATGGTTCACTTTACTGTGGCTATGATATTCAGTGGAGTGTCTGCATTCTTATACCTTAGTGAGACAGGCCAGTGGATACCCCTCATCTCCTCCCTCATCCCGTCGTAATTTCCATTGTAATATATGAACCTTGGCCCGGTTTTGTCGTGAACCAAGTAACAATTAAATCTGAAGGACAACGTTACGTGGTGGCTGGTGCCTATGGGGGCTAGGTATTTCAGCTTGACCACCATACCCTCCTCGTTTGTTATGATGAGGTCCAGTGGCTTGGGTGTTTGCTCCCCTCTGTAATGCGTCGGGTCTTTAACACGTTGGAACAGAAATGTCACAGGGTTTCTACAAAAAAGTAGCGGGGTTAGTAAAGTCATTTGACGTGGTCTCCTATTTCCGGTCGATGTCGCCATGAAGTACCCCATGATAAGGAGGTGGCTAGAGTGGGGCACAGTTGCTTTGTCTATTAAGGCTCTTAAGTTCCTTTGGTTTAATAAGCTACAGTTTGGGGATCTGTAGATACACCGGACAATATGTAAGTCTCTCCCCTTTAATTTAATTTTATTCCACTCTGATTCTTCATAAACATCATCTCCCTGTACCCTCACCTGGTTGGCTCTAAGGTCTTGCCTCCCATAGATAACCACACCCCTCTTGCAAGTTTCTTGAGAAAGGTTCGTAAATAGTCATATCACTCAATACTGAACTCGCATTCCTCCAGGTCGATTCTCCTGTTCTTGTACAACAGTTCTACAACACCTACTATATGGGGTTGATGTACCTTCAGTAGTGTTTCAAACTCCTCTGTCTTGTCAAGGAATGTGTCAATATTAGTGTACATGACTTTCAAGCCGGAATTTGTTCTCGGTAACGTCTCTGCTCTTGTTAGTGACTCCGGCCCCCTCCATTCTCAGCAGCTGCAGTATTTGCTAAATACTACATTGTATTTTGCGGGTTGTGGTCAGAGATGCCATTGTTTACATGGCGCTCCCCTCCACCTGGGTGGGAGGTAGAGCAGGTGAAGGGTGTCCTTCCGTCCCCCGGCTCTGTGCTGGCGCTCTTGCTTCCACAACCCTCCCCCTGGATATAACCCACGTATACCCGTCCACGTTGTTCCTCGACTCCTCCTTCCTCTGCTTCAAGCTCTGTAGGAATTTTTTGTGCTGTTCCCTCTGCATTACCGTACGGTATGGGCGAATGAATACATTCCAAAATGCATCGGTCCTTGCTAAGTTTTTTGCCTGCCGAATAATTTCATTTCTTATCCTCATTCACTACTGTGATCCCGAGGGTTTCATGCAAAGAAGTGTTAGTTAAAAGACTAGTGAGGTCATCATAAAACTATATCGAGCTTGTGAGACCTCACTTGGATTACGCAGTTCAGTTCTGATCTCCGTACTACAGAATGGATATAGAATCCCGAGAAAGAATTCAGAGGAGAATGACAAGACTAAACCCGAACATTAGGAACCTTGAGTACAGAAACAGGTTAAAGCATCTTAATTTGCACTTCCTCGAGAGAAGTAGAGTGAGGGGCGATATGATCGAGGTGTATAAATGGAAGTCTGGGCTAAACACCTCGATCATACCGCCCCTCGCCTGTCACATATATAACATGAAAATTACACTGGGCTTATACCCTAACCAGGAGACAAAATTTGGGTACTGAATAGCTTCCAGAAGATTCTTTACCCTAACTTCCTACCACAACTGGTGCTAAGTGAACGTTTGTAGTAAAGGGACACTGCAATTTTATTTTAAACTTGGATGTTACTCGTATATTTTACGTTAAGTCAATCAGCTACGTGCTCTGTCTTCAATTGCGAGGACTGTTCACCTTCCGAACCTCTGAGAATCTGGACTCCCGGATGAGAAATGTGCGTTGTGTCATGTAGCTGGGGGCCATGACTTGAAGAGGCTTTGTCCTGGATTAATGCTAGTATATGTAGGAGGATGAAAAATAAAATGAAGAGTAATATATACAATAGTATTTAATGATAAATTATCATAGGGAGAAAATTAGGGACTTACCTAATTCCCTAGGGAAAAAAATGACAAACCCCGAGGAAAATTAATCGAAACCCTAGTTTAAAGATAATCGGTTATTCTTCAGTTAATATTTTTCATGTCATTTGAATAATATTTGAAATATCGAGAACTTTTTCCAATAATGAAATTCTCTTCAATAATGACCTTTGAACTACCCCCCACTTGGTTTAAATAAAGCAGACACGGCAAAATTAAGTTGATAAGCATTGCCAACAATTGCAAGGTATTTGCCACCCAGCTAGGTTGGTGCTGGAAAATAAGACATAAGTAGAATAGCTTTTATGGATGGTTTCGGGGATTTAGTTTAGAAATACCAAGCCCAAATGGTCGATGGTCGACACGACGCGACGGTTATGTGCTCTGTGGGTTAAGAGATGCTGCGGCTTGGAGGGAAGAACTTATTTTGTTACCCATGAGCCGAAAATGGAGACCATGTTATTTTGCGGAGTATGTTGGCGGTGTCTCAGGCACTTCGGAGGAGATTTCAAAACTTGAAGGGTGGGTGTAGGCTGAACTGGTCACGAACCACTTGCTTGTACAAAAACGGTATATAACTTCGTGAAACTGGAGTTTTGCTAACAATGGGAAAGTTTTGTGCGGTTTCCAACTTTTCAAATTGTTCTGAAAAAATAAAAGAAGCTTCCCTCAGATCGCCCATTACCGTATTATATATTGCTATAAAAATATTTAAATCAGAAACTACGAGAAGTGTCTGGCGAAAATTCGGAGAGCAGAATAAACATTAGCCACTCGTAACAATGCAAATAATGTACAGTAATGTGTTGATTGAATAGTGATCACACTGTTATCGGTAGGGAACCCCTGTATACTTTATATGTCATATTTAAACGTAAATCATAGCAATTTATCCATTTTTTTGGCATTTTCTATTAATTCTATACGCATGCAATCATCACACAAACCTTCGTCAACCGTTTCGTTAAAGTTTGATGATATTGATGGGGTTACATGTAGGGTATTTCTGTTTTCCAGGATAGCCATCCGCATTATTTACTTTTCTCTTCGCCACTGATGGGCTCGTTAACCGCTTGGGCTGTCGGTCACGTCTCTGTTGTGCACTATTGGCAA